TCCGATGACAAGAACATTTTCATCTGTTCAGATTAAAAAACGGGAATGGAATTAGAAATGTGAAAAAAACTAATGAAGAAAAAGCGAATGCTTAAATTTAACCGCATCCCACCATGGAATGCTTCGACGCTTCGATAATCATGGCTGTGCAGTGTTTGCCCTTTGAATTCATCAAGGCCGGGTATGCTTGGATAACGTGGCGAAGCAAAGTGACCGTTGGCAACAAAAACGACATCATAGATCAGTGTCTGGAATTTGTCGTTTGGCAAATCCTTCACGATCACTTCCCATTTGTCATTTTCGATTGGAAGAACGCGGATAACCAAGTGGCTGAGCTTGATGTGTTTCTTGATTTCAAAACGATCCGCGTATGAGTGAAGGTATTTCAGGACATCGGCTTGTGATGGATACGATTTGGTTCCGTTGGGATAGGGATGATCGTTGAATTCCATTACTTGGTGTGGCAAATTCGTTCTAAATGAATACAAAAATTATGTAAATATCATTTAAAATAGAATCCGAGTTTGTAAAATTTACCTAAGCCCTTGATACATCGCCGAATGGACATTTTGACCATATTGATCTTTGCCGGTTTTGTCTGTGTACCACCAAATCCCGCCGAATTGTTCAGCCTGTTCGTAAACTGTCACATTGTAACCTTGAGCCAGTGCATATTTTGCACTCACTAACCCCGATGTTCCAGCTCCAATAACAGCCACATTTAAAACCGGCGCCGGTTCTGCTTTTATCGCTGCTGTATTTACATGAGAAATTGGCAATTTCGTCATTTTCAAAGCACTTTCGGTAAAACACAATATATGAAACAAATAGTTTCAACACTTCATACGCTATGAAATCTATTGACCGTACTCAACTGATTTTGCCCTTTCGAATCAATACTAATTTATACAACTTTCCGTTTCCGTTATCTATATGTAACATATTCAAATTAGCACACAGTTTGGTGGTGTAATCTTTTAAAACGGCTGAGACGTAATGACTATGTCCGAATGCACAATGAGATTATGTCATAAAATATGATATCGATTGCTGCTTGTTATAATACTCAACCTAAAATTGATTAATTTATGAGAGTCATGATTACAGTCAAAAATACAGTGCATAACAAATATTAAGGGGAAGCGCTCGAACTATAACGACGTATGTACACTAGGGTGTTCTCGACATCGTTCAATTGAAAAATGGTAAGTCTCATTCGATAGATCTCAGAATTCTGAGTCGATTGATAACATTTTTGTCGCGGATGGACTTGTGGTGACACTTCCCGAAACTTAAAACGAAAAATGTTTTATTCTGAATTTCTATAGTAACGTGTGACAACTAGATTCAATTTTATGTTTTCTTGTCAAATTTTTGCTTTCAAATATCAAATCAAATCTGGTTATCGCAGGTTACTATGGAAATTCAGAATAAAACTGTTTTTGTTTTCAGCTTCGGGAAGTGTCATCACAAGTCCATCCGCGACAAAAATATTATCAATTGACTCAGAATTCTGAGATCTATTGAATAAGGCATACCATTTTTTGATTAAACGATGCCGAAAACACCCTTGTACACACATCAAACTTGTTGTACATACATTCGGTTCAATGCTATTACTCTGCGAAATCGAAATTTTGTGCAACGCGATTGTGCAGGTGAATGGATTCAATGATGATCTAAAAATCACATGCTTTTTTTGCTGTTTATTTCTCTGCACATGGAAACAATTACGGCGCAATCTTATTGAGCTTTTTACCTCATAAACTAAATGAAATGCACAACATAAAATTACAAAACGGATGCCGTATCAAATTTTGATGAAGAAAATAAAATGCCTACTCTACGACACACACATCAATTAGCAAATGAAAAAAAGAGTCACCATTGAAAAGAGATCACCCTTTATGACAGAGAAAATGACAATTCGAAAGTATGAACAATGAACATATGATTTATATTTATATTTTTTGTTCGTTTTATGTCAAATGTCAATTGTTCGAGGCCCCTCCTTGTTACGGATCCTACGAATAATTGACATCAGGCACAACTTTTTATCTATCAATTTCAAGTATGAACCAATTAAGGACCTTAATTTAAGGTGACGTTGAGCTTTCAATCATTTGGCAACAATTTTGGTGAACTTGTTTAACCGAATAATAAATTCCGTGCTCACAGCACTAAACAAAATAGTAAACCAAAAGAAAATTTCGAATACAGAGGCCAAAATAAATCAAACATTTTCTACCTCAGACTACGTTGATGTCCCCTTCTTCATTAAAAACTTACGCTATTTCACTGGATGGGCCGACAAAAATCTGAGCCAAATTAACATGACTTTGTTTCTTATTCAACTTTTTGGCTTTGCCATATTTTCGCGTTTTGCTCCGGTTAACATCTTGCGCATTGAATAAATATGTGTTGTTGATAATAAAAATGGGAATAAAAGTGTTTGAACTGAAGCGCAACATAAAATCTTTATCTTAAAAATGAATCGTCGCTTCAATAATAAAACATTATTCGTAACATGAAAAATGTAAAATGTAAATTTTTTATACAGTTTTTTGTGTTTTTCACGAAACTGATAAGTAGCTTACCTTCAAATGTTGACGATCATCGAAGTAGAAGTTTATGTATTTTCACATTTTGTAAAATTTCAGCATTTTTTTCTTTAATCAGAATTCTAAACGGCAAGAGATGCACATATTTTGTTAATAAACATTTATAGGAAAGTTTATTCCAAAGGAAGAACTTTTCGAAATCAAACAATTTCTCGGTAATTATTCCAAACGTTCAATTGGCGAAAATAGATGTAAATGCAAATTGAAAGTTTACAACTTTAAAGGGGCCAACAAAAAATGTGGTTCGAATTTGAAAAATATTCAACAGTGGTATTTGGTGCACACGCCGGTATATTCATTACGTTATATTGATTAAATTAATACGAAGATAACATCTATTGTTGATGTATATGTAGTCATTTCAATTATTCCCTCTTCTTCATAGACATATCAACATTTCGATAGCGTTGAATTTTTCTTGAAAAATAATACACAGAATGTAAGTAAAAAATTTTGATAGTAAATATATTCAAAACAAACACTTTTTGCTACTATTAATTGATAAGTGCCTCTAAAAAGGTGAATTAATATCGCCAGGGTCATGGATTTTTTTTCTCTCGTCAGCCTTGCGTTGTTCGTAAATTAATCTTCTTCCCGTTCCTTGGTGAACGTTTTGTCATCGATGATAATGTATTTGAATTTACGGAACTCTGATGGGCCCTTTTTCATAGATTCGCGCGAATCGAAATGCATATCGGGCAAAACTTCTGGAATCGGTTCAACGTCAGCTGTTTCAGCTAGTTGCTTGAAATATTCATTCTGCTCAACGCCCAGATAGTGAGTGTAGCGCTTGCCATAGCCTTTACCCCAGTGATTTTGCAATTGAATTTGCATATCGGTCAACATGTCCGACTTCGATGGCAGTTGTTTTTCACCCGTAAGGAATTTCATTGCGAATCGCACCTGATTTAAAAGTCGTCATTAGTTATTTGCATAAGATTTAAATGAAAATGAATCAACTCAGCATGATTTGTATTTACCTGCAAGTCATAGAGTCGAGTGGTGCAAGTGGTGAATGGTACACCGATGAAAATCATCGTGGGATGTTCAATGTTAAAGACTTGCTTGTACAGTGGCAAAACAGTATTTTCCTCCACGGTGATGCCAGTGTCAACGCTCAAAAATGGATACGTGAAATTGTAGCCTGAAAATATTTTATATACAAGTATTAGTGACTTATTCAATATAGACGCATTTTTCGCCATGAAAAAAATCTTCTTACCTGTTGCAAAAATCACCAAAGAGAATGTTTCGTGGGTGCCATCAATGAATTCAGCGCCGGTTGGTGTAAAACGTTCGACATTATCTTGAAGTGTAGTTTTTGGTGGCATCAGACTTTGACGCTTTTCCCGCTCCTCTTTCGTTTCGTTTGGCCGCTTAAACTGACTGAATGTGATTCGAGTGGCAACTTTCGAAAGTTGAAAAACAATATCCATACCAGAAGGTCCAGCTCCGATGACAAGAACATTTTCATCTGTTCAGATTAAAAAACGGGAATTGGAATTAGAAATGTGAAAAAAACTAATGAAGAAAAAGCGAATGCTTAAATTTAACCGCATCCCACCATGGAATTCTTCTTTTGAACGATAATCATGGCTGTGCAGTGTTTTTCCTTTGAATTCATCAAGGCCGGGTATGCTTGGATAACGTGGCGAAGCAAAGTGACCGTTGGCAACAAAAACGACATCATAGATCAGTGTCTGGAATTTGTCGTTTGGCAAATCCTTCACGATCACTTCCCATTTGTCATTTTCGATTGGAAGAACGCGGATAACCAAGTGGCTGAGCTTGATGTGTTTCTTGATTCCAAAACGATCCGCGTATGAGTGAAGGTATTTCAGGACATCGGCTTGTGGTGGATACGATTTGGTTCCATTCGGATAGGGATGATCGTTGAATTCCATTACTTGGTGTGGCAAATTCGTTCTAAACGAATACAAAAATTATGTAAATATCATTTAGAATAGAATCCGAGTTTGTAAAATTTACCTAAGTCCTAGGTACATCGCCGAATGGACATTTTGACCATATTGATCTTTGCCGGTTTTGTCTGTGTACCACCAAATCCCGCCGAATTGTTCAGCCTGTTCGTAGACTGTCACATTGTAACCTTGAGCCAGTGCATATTTTGCACTCACTAGCCCCGATGTTCCAGCTCCAATAACAGCCACATTCAAAACCGGCGCCGGTTCTGCTTTTATTGCTGCTGTATTTACACGATTGATCGCAAACAATGAAATGAGAACTCTGATGAAAATTGGACGAGAAATTGAAAATTTTGTCATTTTCGAAACACTTTCGATTTAACACAATAAATAAACAAGATATATGAAGTCAATAATATTTTTAACACCTCGTACTGTCTGAATTCTACTAATGAGCGGAATTGACTGATTCTGTCCTTTCGCATCAAAACTAATTTATACAATTCTGTTTCTGTTATGTTATGTATTCAAATTCGCACACAGTTTGGTGGTCTTATCTCTTAAAACGGCTGAGGCGTAATGACTATGTCCGAATGCACATTGAGAATGCGTCGTAGTATATGATGCCGACCTTTTCAACCTAAAATTGATTATAATATGAGTAAGCATGACATACTGGAAAATCTGTTTTTTTTTTATTGTCCACACAATCAGGAGTGATGGTTAGAACTAGCACTATCGCGAAAAATAATATTTGATTGAACAATTGCCGATATTCAGGCGTAAAGCAGCGTAAAGTATTCGATAAATCACATGTTTGTTTTGCTGTTTATTTCTCTGCACATAGAAGCCCATACGGCGTAATCTGGTTGAGGTATTCGTTTTGAATAGTCTTTTTTGTCGTCTCGCTCTCTTATGTATTTCTTTCAAAACGAATCGAAGTAACGAAAGTGATACATTGCCCGTGTCATATCTCTCTGTCCATGTGTTTCTTTTGATTTGGTTTTCGCTTATCGGCTAGCAAAGAAATTGGCTTCCAGTTGATGGCAATAACAAGACCTGTGTTTTCTATGGTAAGCCGTTCTTTTACCACCACTCCATCGTTTTTCTTTAATCATATACAGAAGTTTTGTAACAGAACAGAAATTTGTGTCGACGATGTGTTCGGGGCAACGGTTATGTGGCTAGTTGCAGTGCGGTGGAAGTCTCATATATGTTCGATACAATACTAACGTTGTGTGATCACAAGTTTGTGTTGCTCTAGGTCCGACAGCCGCTATTAAATACTTTCTCGCATGTCGCCAAATCACTTCAAGTCTCTTGATAGACCATCGCACTTGCGTTTGAATCGTTGTAGCGAACGCACGCGGTTTTCTCTCTGTAACAAAAAGAAAAATCGTTTATAAAAGTTGTTGGTACGCTTCAAATGACACACTGAAAATAAAATCAAAACTAGTTGAAGTTCATTTTTGAACGAGAAAATAGAAACAAATTATAGAGAAGTTCATTTGATCAAATTAAATTTGTGCGCCGAGAAAAATTGCTGTGTTCTGTTCAGTCGTTTAAAAACGAAATTAGACGCGAGTTTAAATCAAAAAAGTAAAAAAAAAAAAACTAACATGGTTGTCAGTGATAATCCGGAGTATGAACATTTCAAACATGTTCCAGCGATCCAAAGCTGGATCAAAACGCAACCACATTTGCCGCAAAATATACGTAAGATACTTTCATTGATAATTATAATTATTGGTGACTTGATTAAAATCAAATAGATTCCATGTGCACATCGAATGCGGACATGTCTTTTACAACGCGGTTTCTCTAGTTACTTCATTCATCCATCTATCAAATCATTTTTTTCCGTGACATGAAATCTTCTCGCTCAAAACATTGTGTCTCACATCGATCATTTTATTAGAATACAATGAACGCATTTGCTAGCATAGTATCGTGATTTTTAATTAATTTTTATTTGACACATTCGGTGTGATTTCGAGGAGAGAACTAGCAAAAAGCCTATGAAAAAATAAAAATTAATCAAACAGACACACAAACGGTTTGTATGTTTTACGAGCCATTTTCAAGAGTTATTTATTTAGCATTCAAGTGCGAAATGGCTAAAGTCTATCAGCTTGTACAAAGACTTTTATGCAATAATGCGCGCCAATCGATTGTGTTATGCCGTCTCTATGAGGCGAACACACAACATTACTTGCAAAAATGAAATACTTCTGGAATCTCAATATCAAAATCGAGCGGCTGAGATCATTGCATGCTCATTGCACGCTATTTTGCATATTCCAGAACCAATCTGAACAATTTCCGTTCATTAGGTTGGGAAAAAAAAACTAGCAAATATTCAAATAATCCGATTGCGATATCGTGAGTAGTGAGAATAATGAAGGCACTACTGATAAAGCATAGCTCAGAGAACAAAATAAAAGAATTCAACGAATGATTTTTAATAGCACAACATCGACTGTTGAATTGCCACGACAAAACGATTCCCATTGAATCGACTCGTGCCCGTGTCATTCTATGATGAATCAGAAATTCATAGAATATGCCACAGAAGATTGCTTATGATGAATTCTTGCTATAATCAGATTTAAATTGTTTGAAACTGTTAGTTTTGTTTAAGCTTAACTGTTGAAATCAAACTTCGTTTCGCTACGCTTCATCATTGGTATACAGTAACAGGCTATGTGGTCATTGTGATTATTATTGTTTTGATTGACAGTAAAAGAAAACACACGAAACAAAAATACAAACACACAAAGCGTGCGAGTACAGAGGTTGGCGTTAACTGTTGACAACTTTTGCCAGTGTAAACTGGCATGCGTTCGTAATTTTACTATTTGCAATCATTCATGCTCAGGGTTCCACAGTCCAAATGTAAAAAAAAAAATAAATGTCAATTCCCAACGTTTTAAATCGCATTCATTTGAAATTTAAAACTCTTTTAATTCATACGCTCCAAATTAGTAGTTTCGTTGGATTTCATTGCGATTGGAGGGTAATTAAAATTCGTTAATGGCACCAAACAACAATGAACTATGGTTGTCTTACCTCCTGGTTCAAATATAATGATTTGTTCAGATAGAAAAACGCACATTTGCATGTGATTTAGAAATAGCTTTATCAACGTGTGTTATCGTAATCACAAGGAAATGAACAGACTAATTAAAGATGGAACAAAATGCATGCGCACATCAGACGAAGCAAAGCAAGTTTGATTTCTTCATTGAAGAAGCAGATACATGTAGACACTGCATATGAAGCAATAGCTCGAAATTTAAATTCGTTCGAAAGCATTTTTCATAAAAATCCAAGCCAAAAATGGTTGATGGATTTTAAATGATTGGTATCATTGGCGCACAGCGTAGTTAATTCAATTTTATTGTTGAAAACGTTTGACATCGTCTCACCGCACTGGAATAATTTCGTTTAGATTCGCTTCGAAAAACCTATTTAAAATTCAAGACGAAACAAAAACAAAATGTTGTTCGATTTGCAATATTGGGTGCGTTTGCATGTTAATTGTAATGGTGATAGATGTGGAGATAAAACGTTTGCTTCAAATTCACCGCTATCTTGATATACATTTGGAATTTTTTGTTAAAAAATAGGCTCTTCGAACGAAAGACTCTATGTTTTCGATTTGCATCACTGTTATATGGAAAGCGTCACACCAGTTAATAAATACATATAAAAGAGGCGCAGCCGATCATCCAGGTCATTCAAAGAAAAATCACGTAGATCTATAAAATGATAACATAAATCATCTGGCACCCATTTGTTTACCTCATAACCCTTGAAAGTGTTTTAGAAAAACCGAAAAAAGACAAATGCCGTTCTACATTTCAAAACGTTTAATTAGACGGCGAAGGTCGATCATGTTTTGGCGCACAATATTTTCGGCGCAGTTACCCACCATTTGTGTTGCGGCCAATGGAAATGAAGCGAAAAACTACAAAAACACATGAATGGTCACAGTTTGCATGGTAAAATGTTAAATACCAAACACACAAATAGGAATGATACTTTTTTTTTCTCTTCTGGTGATATGTAAGAAATTAAAGGTTGGAATTTGGTGTTTGGGTTTATGTGTCAAGATCATACCCCATGAATTTGGTTGATTCATTGCATGATATTGTCTTATTTCTATTAACAATGATTAGAATATAATAGAAAAACGAAATGGTCATAACTTAGATCTGATGTCGTCGGTGTGTGTGTGTCCCTGTAACCAATTAAACCATACCATCTACAGAATCTAAACACATATTTGGCAACCAAAAATCAAATCAAACCGTTTTAGATGCTAAAAGTTTGGCTTCTCATTTTCTACAGAGCTATTTTTAGCATTGAAGAAGTGAAAAGAGCGATCGTAACGATTTAGCAATTGATTTTTTCACAATAAAATTGCCACTTAATCACAAAGGTAAAATAAAATATAAATGAAACAAGCAATATACAAGTTCAAGTTTACGCATTGTAAACTGCGTACATCGATTACACGGTAAATTTTAAACGGAGTCTTTTAACACAATGAATTGCGCCGCGTGTTTGGTTTCTTCATTATATTCAATTCAATGGTAATATTAGTTTCAAGTGAATGATCTCGTCATCTGTGGTTTTCTTTGTTCTTTTTCGTTGGCAGTGGCAGCAGCACCACCAATTGATTTTGCACAATAACACTCAAGTTTCATTGTTCATATGGAAAATGCCAAAGCATTTCTTCGAATTAAATACCATGTTCTTGAAAAATATTAATAACTGCTGTCAGATGCATTTACGTATAATGTACAAAATGCGAATAAAAGCCTTGGCAATGATTTTTTTTTTCACGTTGCTACGAGGAAGATTAGTGGCGTTCGTGTTTGATGTGTGATGACGAATGAATTTACTTGCTTTTAATCTAGAATCACACAAAACAATGGCCAAACATTAGTTGAGATTTATTTGGGCACGAGACTTGAAAAGTTACAACTTGTATTTTGGAATAAAAATATTAAACTGGTTTTAATCGCCCCACGTGGCATAATCACACGAAAGTAGTCGAAAAAAAAGCTCATCGAATTGAAACTGAAAAAAAATCGTATATGAACAAAAAAAATCATCAAACAAGTCGGCGTAAAACGAATGTAGATGATGAGAAAATGAACTTGACACATATGACCGTTCGTTAGGTGGGTGGAATTGTTTTGATTTTGGTAAAATGCCGATAAATTTAGTTTTCGCGCGCGCTTTGAATTGGGTTATGAGTTAATTTTTTGTCTGTTTTTTTTTTCAAGCGAATCGAGACGATTTCGATGGAAAACATTTTTCAAGTTCGTTGATCTGTTTTTTCTCTCTCTTTCTCTCGGGTGTACGTGAAACCAATTGTGTTTTGCTGCGAATCATATATGTTCGCATTGGAAATGAATACATGTCTATTTTCTTAAATCTCTTTGATTAAATTAGCCGTGGCGGTGACATTTTATCACTTTGATCCTAATAGCATTTTTTATGCCATTCCAAACGTTTGAGTTAAGAAATATTTAATGCGATTGTCAATGAAACAAATGCTATCTTTTGTTTTTAATGCCTCTAATGAAGATAGCATTGGATCGCTGAATAAATAGGTAAATTGCCTTATTGAAGTCGTCATTAACTCAGAATTGCAACGCCGTGAAGCGACGCTTCTCGTATCGATGAAGAGAGGAAAAAATGTGCAAAGATCAATGCAAAGCGACGAAAAACAAAGTTCATTGACGCGCATACAATATGCATTGTGCATGCAAACTTGTTTTACGACAAGCAACGATTCTAGGCTTGAGAGTCCGTCCGAAGGTCATTTTATCTGGTTCCGTTATGTACACAAAGTGCAAGACAACGGAAAAATTTCCTCAAAAACTCGATTATTATACATGTACAATGTACATTCATCAATTAAATTCAACACGCAATACGTTCCATGTATACTGAGCCCATATTCGTACTTATCTGATCGATTGACCTTTTGAGTGTGCGAAAACAGAAAAATATGTTTTTTTTTCCAGTTGATGAAGAAGACAAATAATAAAATGACACTAAAAATAACACAAAAATCTTTCTAATAAACAAAATATTTTGGAATTGATTTTATTGAGTGGGCTTCAATGTCACGAATTTTAGATACATATTTACTTTTTAGCATTAGCACATCTGATTTGATTGGATTAACAATGTTACTAATTAAATTATAGTTGGAATGAGCAAGAAATCGTCTTCATCAACATTGACACCTACCTTCGATCGACATCATCGCAAATAAATAGATGATTTAATCATGAAATTAGAAAAACGCTTACGCACTTTGTGCAGAAAAAAAAATTCCATTGCTCAGCCGGTTTTGCGTTATATTGAACGTTAGTCACACGCTGCAGTCAACTCGTTGTTTGTGTTGTTCAATCAACACCGTACCGAAGCAACGTCATTCAAGAAACCAATAATTTTATATAAAACAGATGAAAAAGCAAAAAAAAAAAAAACTATTGACCACAAAACCAGCCGTCAACGAATGCGCGTGTCAATTTTTCGGTTTAATTAAGTACCAAACTCAAGTTTTGTGGCTATTTTTAACCAAACATGAAAGGTTTGGCCACTTCATACTGGTTCCGTTGTGCACATAAAATACACATCGTATTGTTGTTTGACAATCGAACTGTTTTCAACCGACTAGAACGGCTTATTAAATTAAATTTTAAATTTAAATCAACGAAAGTAAACAATGCCAACATCTATGGATGCCTGGAATTTTTTTTTACGTTTCTTAAAAGACTCATCTGTCGATTGACGGTTGCCCGTCTTCCCAGAATTCAAATGAAGACAGTAAAAAAAGGTGTCTTTGCTAATTCTTTCATCAGCATCGTTGAGAACCAGTTTTTGATGAACTGAAAATATTACTCATGCAGATCGACTTTGTTTTAACTTTCTTCATTTGGAACGTGTTTATCTGAAGAAGTGTTGAAAATTCTGCATATGAAATGAGTGTAAGCTATTTTCAATGTAGACAAGTGTTGCGTGTTGCTTGCTCATTGAAATACGAGCGAACAGTGCAGGCGCTCGCAATGTTTCGACCTGATCTGGCAACACTTACCGTAAAATTGGAAACGTCAAGTAATTGACAGTCCATAAAAATTGTTTATTTATATCTGAAGCACGATTATATGTTTTCAAGCGGCAAAACTTGATCAACAGAGGGAAAAACCTCAATGTGAATCATTTATTCTAAGTATTTTGAAATCGTGCTGTTGCTTAGAATAAGAGGAACCAATATGGAAATCATTAAAATTGAAGGTATGCTAATGAAATCCGGGTGAAATGTTCCATTTAATCGATACCAACAACATTACTCAATGAATTTGTTCACAGTTGACGATGTACCCTTCGGCTATGATTGTGTAATTTGTCGAGAGCGGTATTCAACGCGGCTGGAGCGAAATGATCATTTGGAAACACACTTTATACACAAAAAATGCAGCGATTGTAATCGTCTAGTGATATTAATTGGCGATTTGGAATTTGAACTACATCGACCAGCCCATTGTACGAAAGTCTGTCAAAGTGATAGTAATGATTATGAGGATTTGCAACCATTTGTTGCGATAGAAAGACTGAAAGACGTTGCCGTAGATGTATCAACAGAAGATAATGACGACGATGACGAAGCGTTGAATAAGACGGTGATGAAGGAAGAAACCGATTCGGACGATTGTCCCTTGAGCATTGTTGCTGACATTTCCAGGCACACGGTTTGTGAACAAGTCATTTTTTCAAAGGAAGATGACGATCCACCCGAACAGCCAAAACCAAGCAAAAGAAAACGAAATCGAAAAAAGCCTACGAAAAAAGACGAAGATATTGGTGAAGATAAGAAATCGGCTCGAATTCAGAAATCTCGACCAGTGAAGATAATAGCCTGCAATCAAGAAGGTTGCACCGAAGAATTTCGGCAAAAGCAATTGTTGCGTAAACACTTGAAAACAGTTCATGGCATCGTCGAAAAGCATTTGTGTTCAATATGCAAATTTGCTTTTGCCGATAAGTCGAATTTAAAACATCACATGGTCACCCATACCGATGATAAGCGATTTATTTGTTCGTTTTGCGGAGCACGCTTCCATAAATTGACAAATATGACCGAACATATGAACGCTCATTTGGGACTGAAGCCATACAAATGCGAAATTTGTGGAAAAGATTTTGGCAGAAGTAATCACAAACGACAACATATGAGGGTAAATAGAAATGAAAACCGACAAAATTCCGTTAAGAATTGAATTTTGAATTGAGGAAAACTTTTTTTTTCTTCGAAAATAGGTTCACACCGGAGAAAAACCGTACATCTGCCAGATCGTGAATGATTGTACGCGAGCCTATATGTTTAAAATTGATTTAAAACGACACCAGCGATCGGTGCATGGCATAATTGAAAAGACATTTACGTGCAAAATCTGTGACAAAATATTTTATGAAAATAAGTATCTCACCAAGCACATGGCCACTGCACATTCGTAGAAGAGCCAGCAATATTCTTTTCCAAGTTTAGATTAAAAGTTAGATAAAAACTCATTAATTTATTATAACCAATATATGGAGTCACAAAGAAGTGGCAAAATAAACTTTCTCTTAGTTTTGCCAAGGCTTTTTGGTGTTTCAATTGTCCGCGGTTCGAAAATGCACATTGGAAGAATTTTGTTTTTTTTTTTTAAATGTTTCAGATTTCAATTTAATTTTTTTTTCATTCAATTATGATTTGTAACCGAAAAAAAAAATGTCATTGCAGATCCAATTTTGATACAGCGGTTCATTCATTCGGTGTATGGTAATGTGGAAAAGACGAAGAAACTAATTGAAAATAGTTTCAACATGCGCAACAATTACGCTCATATATTCTTGAAGCGCGATCCGAATTCCATTGAATCAAAGCAAGTTTTTGAAGTTACGTAAGTGTCCATTCTCGAGCAATGCTGCAAGCCGCAAATACACAAATTGCTTAGAAAATTATGATTCCACATATATGCTTAGTTTGTGCTAATAACAACGTTTTGATGCTCCATTTTGAAATGTCTGTAGAAAAAAAAAACCACATGCAATTATAGCCAAAGTAATCGCGTTATGAAACAAACGTAACTAAAAAAAAAACACAAACATGGCATTTATTCTGCTCACCTGAGCTTGTATCGCACAATGAACTCCACGTGTTAAAATGCCACAGTAACAAAAAGAATCTCGTTTTAATTGAATACAAAAAAAGCTGACATGGAACCATAATTTTCAGCAGAACAATTTCGTTAGTTGAAAAAAAAATGTTGATTTTTTTTCTGTTGAAAATATGATTTTATATAGGGACATGATACCGCTGCCGTATGCAACGCGAGAAAATTTTAAGATCATGTTTTATCGGCTTTGTGACACAGACGTCGAAAAGGTTTGTATAACTTCAATGCTTGTTGTTAATATTTTTGTTTTCGGAAAAGAGAGATTATTTTCTTTGTGAAAATCGCATCGCATGAAATGAACACATTCATTTGGGTCGATTTTCTCCATATTTCATCATTTAAGTCGTCGTCATTTTTTCATACTCTCTCTCTCTCTCTCTCTCTCTCTCTCTCTCTCACTCTCTCTCTCTCTCTCTCTCACACAATGTGTGATTTACGACCCATCATGAAGCAGATTATTATTAAAATAACGTTGTCCAGTTGGAAACAATGCCACTACTATGTTATGAGAAAAGAAACTCATAAAAATGAAATGACTCATTAAATTCCATTATGAGCCACTGTTTGTGTATGATTGTATTTGTTGCGTTTTGTTGGTTTGTCGTCAGTGCAATACTGGTTATTATCACTATTAAGTGACTTCTAACCTTTAATGGCACTCCACTGGCAAATCCAACGGCATGTATTGCCATTACATCATTATGCAATCATATGTAATCGCAAAACACAAAAGGATTACGTTTTTCTTGTCTATAGTCAGTCATTGAATCAAACATCGAATTGAATCGTTGCAATGTTGTTCAACACTCATTCATTCATTCGTCGCAAAAGTTAGTGTTTAATGGAATTTTGTTTTTATAAATAAGTCGAGTTTCGAAAGTGTTATTTTATGAATGTAATAGCATGTGTTATTGAGGAAATAGCATTTTCCCCCATTTATTTCAATTGAACGTGATTTTTAACCAAAAAAAATGTGCATGTTTCAGTTTAACTTCACCGAAGCGATTAGGATGTTCTTCATGGTGGCCGATGTTCGTTTGGTCTGTATGGATGCTGATGAGCCAAACAGTGGTTGGAATGGAGAAATACCCGTGTTCGATATGGCCGGATTCAGTTTGAGACATGTTACCTGCGTTGTTTTGTCGGTATTACGTATTTACATGAAATACACACAAGTAAGTTTAACGATAATGGTCGTTTTTTCTAAAATGAAATAATATCAAATTTCTTGTTTCTTCAGGAATCGCATCCAGTGCGTTTGCGCCAAATTCATGTGATCAACTGTTCGCCGTATTTGGATCGTATCATGGCGATTATACGGCCTTTTATGCGCAAAGAAGTCTCTAAATTGGTAATAATACCATTTATATCAATGTTTTATACACTACAGAATCTTCTTTTATATATATTTTTGTTTGGTTTTTTCCTCACTCCTTACGTTCATAGCGAATATATTCGCTGCATTAGCATCAATTAACTTTTTGCGAATCTTGAGAAATTTTCGAAAGCCCAACATATGACGTTGTTTGCTAACGAACAGAGTCTAGCTTGAGGATTAAGAATAGTTTCACTTCGTGTATCGCACACCAAGTATTTTCGTAAAACCGGTTTCTTACTCATTTGGATATATACCAAATGCGGTGATTCCATTTATTTGCCGCGAATTTCGCTAAAAAAAATAAATAAATAAAATTGACGACGCCAACAGTTTTTGTCCAAAAAAAATTCAAGTCCAAGGTCTCCCGCAGTTGTTGTTGACGAATCAAATACAATAAAACATGATTGTTTTATCAATCGATAAACAATAATGGCATGCATTTTTGTTGTTTGTTTCAGCTCCATTTCCACAAACCGGATTCAGACACATTGTACAAATTCATTCCAAAAGATTTGTTGCCAGCTGAATACGGCGGAAAGTCCGGCGAAGTGAAAGAAATCAAGAGCCGTTTCGTGAAATTGTTCGATTCATATAGGTAAAATTCCATTGCGAATTTAAATTTAATCATTTCGAAATTGGTGGAATTTAATGAAATCAATCACATTTCAAATGTCATTGAATTGAATTAATTATATTAATTACATCTCGTATATTGCAGAGATTATTTGTTGGACGAAAGCAGATGGAAGTTGAACAGTGTGAACAGTCGCAGCTGCGCCAGCGTTAATGCCGACCAAGAAGTTTCCGGCAACTTCCGAACGCTTTGCATCGATTAGACGGAGAAATGAATGATAATTTGATAATAATTTTGGTGTTAACATTTTTTAAATTTAAGTTTTAAGTTTTAATTTCGTCTATACACTGAATCTGTTGCAATTGTCTGCACCAATTTTTTTCCACCTACGAAATTGAGTGAATTTTTGAATTGGTTTTTTTTCCAAATAAATTCGAACATTATTTCTCAATTGAAGTTTACTAGTGAGCCTTTAGCGGTTGTTTAATTGCACAATTTTTCTTGGATTTTTCGTCTTCTTTATTGGCTTTGATAGCCAAAAAGAAATTAATGCGAACATTTCTTCGACAATATTGTAATTGTGCGGTGCTAGTAGAAATTACTGTTTTCGATTTTATTGAATGACTTCACACAAAATATCAAAGAATTTAATTTTATTTTATTGCAATCATAATAATAATTCGAAAGGAATTGATTTAAGATGATAAAAATGGTAAAATAAACGGAGTGGTTTGAATTTGAAAAAAAAAAAACGTTCGTTCTTTTCTTTTCGTTTTTGTTCCGAAGTCAAAATCAGTGCGTTCAATTCCCGATTAGACAGATTTTGTCAATGTGGCACGGGTCGTCTGAAAAAGCTTGTCAAGTGCAGTGTGTTAACAGTGGGGAGCAACAAAACCAGCGTATATATAAAGATAGCAACAAGTTTGAGCTTTCAAACGGTGGATTGAGATATATGTGAAACGTAACCGCAAATATGTTGAGTTGTTTACCTGCATGTCAGGATTCAATGCGAATATTTTTAGAATGAAAAACTCTGAATTTACAGATGAAGTATTTCAATATGTTCTAAAATTCGGGAAACAAAAATATGGAGTATTTTTCATTAAAAAATCAAAAAATGCTTGAAAAATCTTAGACATCCTATTTTAGTTCATTCAATCTAATCCAAATGGATTTTTGAAACCCCACATACATTTCGCTCGTTCTACAAGATTACTGTGATTGAGCTTGACGAATTTCACAAGTGCTGTTTTATTATCCCTTTGAATTACGTCTCAGCTATTAGAGTTTAATGATAGAGCAGTCATATAATTTAAGCACTTCAATAGGTGGATAATATAGTTTCAAATAGTGCACACACGCACGCTAAAATTCACTTAACTGCCCTCAGGAAAATGGCATTGATAATTTGAACAGAAAATTTGTTCGGTTTCATGACCGGAAAAACTCCAGATGTGTGTATTTCGGCCCCATGAACACGAAATGGCTGAATTAGTGCATTTGGCAATTCGTTCAAAATTAACAATTAAAAAGTACACTTATAATTTGCATTTTATTGTTGCTGAAAGGCATTATCCTAATCAATTTAATTGAATCAAATATGCAAGGGAATAAATCTCTGGTCGATTGCTTTGGATTTGTTTCAGGTGTAGGAGTTCATAAATTATCCTTTGTTTTTCAATCTAGAAAAAAAAAGTTTCATAAATTGGTCGATATCAGCGATTTAGATCCGATAAATCGGTGAAATCGAATTGCTTCACACGAACAATACCACCATAAAAAGTAGTCAAAGGAAGAAATGTACACATTTTGGGAAATTAATTTTTACATTACATGAAATCACAATATCCGTATAATTTGTATTGGGCATAACAGGGGAGTTTCGTGCACAACTCTCACCAAAACATAGAACTTCGATGTAGTAATTTGTATTTTCAATTTCCTTTCGCAATGTTCGTTCGACACGCACGCACGCATGCCAACCAACAAACCGATGCTGACGGTTATCGTGTGTTTTCATATTCAAATACTTCGAATTATGGTATTCGTCGAATGCGAGCCAATTCAATGAAATGATAATGGATTCTATAAAAACATCCACCTGATTGATGATTTGCCCCCGGAATAAATCTGGGAAAGGTCAATCGATAAAATATTTACAAATCACCGGCGCGCACAACCAAAACCATCTGATGGTTGAGTGCAAATCGATGCAGCTCGATAAAGCCCATGATTCCGATAATTCAGTTAGTTTTCTCTCTCTCTAATCTTTCTTGCAAATCTTCGTTGTGAAACAAAGTCATGCTAGAGACCCCTTTTCAGGTTGTCAAATTAATTCAACGCTTTGGAATATCCTTTCCATTTCATTCGATTTAAAATCGACCCAAATTTTTAGTGGTATTTTATTCAATAGAGATTAAAAAAGACACGCATAAAATTTGGCATGCAAAGCGCACATTCTACGCGGAAATGATCCAAGCATGTTTTTTTTTTGTATTTTTCCCATAAAGATTTTTCACACACTTCGGTGATTAAATTGAAACGACACCATAAAAAGATATAGATATATATAGATAGAATCTCTGGATCTGACACTTTTGATATTACATTTTCCATTATTCCTATACTGTGGTGATTGAAACGACGTGAAACGTACCGCCAAGTGATTTTCTTTGACTTTCAATCATCAAATTAATTTGAACAACAATGAAAAACAAATAAAAATCGAAACGAAAATTGTGTTCATACAAACATAAATGTCTGCAAAATATATAAGAATAACACAAACTGAGAACGCTGCTGCTCTATTGAAGGCCATAACATAGAGTAAACCACACGTTTCTATCGACATCAGTCCGTGAGAATAGAGTGCTGTGCTGCTGCTTTCGATGGAAAACAAGTAAATGCCCGCTGCGTGTGTTTGAAGCAACATGTTGAAGGGGAAACTGAGCAGAAACAACACGTTTTGCGTTCGTCGCACACACACTTTTTTCGCACACCGAATTCACGAATTGGCTGACTGCCTGGATGGTTGGTTTGGTTATGTATGAGGGAAAAAAAGATGAATATGTGTGCGCGGCACTGTGCAGTGCGAAAAGCTTTCGATGCTAAACACAAAATATTATGTATTTATCAGCGATTCATTTTCCATTGAAGCTCAGTTTGAAACGAGATTTGAATGGGATCACAACAAATCCGCAATCGAAATTGTCACAGTTTTTCGCGTCGTCTTATCAAACGGCACAATTGATTTACACATACCTTTTTTGTTGGTTTGGTTATTGTGAAGTGAACAAAGACGGATAAATTGATACTATGTGCATTTTGTGAAATTGTTTTTTTTTTCTTGAGTAAAAATTGGTTCAGGAAATCGTTTGAAAAAAACTGATGGTGCTTTGAAAAAAAAAAAAAAAATAACTGGATGAGCCAGCAGAGTTCAGAGTTAATACCAATATTTTTTGTAGTTCATTGATTGCGATCAGATTTATTGATATGAAATTGAAATTACGGTGAATCGGTGTGCTATTTTTCAATCACCTCTGTTTTCAATCACCACTTTAGTTGTATTATTGCGGGATTTTGGTGAAGTCATTAGCAAACTGCGACAGGAAAAAAAATCGCATCGTTACAAATTGCCATTGTATGCAGTGAACGACCGTAATTAAAGAGTCGAACAAAAAATTGGAAATTCAACGAACCTTGAATTGAACCCATTAATCCATTACTAGGAGGCATTTGCGGACTATAAAACCACGTTTGATGAAAACAGCCCCATCATACACACTCTTCCATACGATAAGTAATACACAAGTTTTCAGTTGAATAGCACCATCATAGTTCTTACTTCTTTTTCTTGTTCGTTGCTTCTTTCGGACGGTTTTTGTGTATCTTTTCGAAGAGTCGGGATGCCTTGAATTTATGTGGGTATTATAAGGTCACATACGAAAACCGAAATTTATTAAATTCCAAGTTTAAAATCGAAAGACGATGTCAGTTCATCGCAAAGCGCGTTATCCATTATGAACTTTTTTCCTCTCTTTAACTCCGTCTCTCCGCAAAAACAGCGGCCGAAATCCAGATTTTCAAACTTTATCTGAGTGTCCCTGAAATATTGCAAACCATTCATTTTATCCGCAAATTTTGCAACTTCAAAAGTGATATTAATCCAAAAACAATCTTGTTCAGACGTGCATCATATATATACATATATACAAGAACGTCGACACGAACATGCTTTAAGATTTTGCGGCAGCAGATGATGATAATTTCCATTCGCATCCATGTATGAATGTGTGTATTTGCGATGCAATGTAATTTCATGTAACATGGAAAGTGAATTAGGAGCTGTGTGCAAACAAAAAAATTCTACGATTTATTTATGAACGATAAATGCGATTTCCACAAATCCATCGAAATGGAATAAAAAGTTTACTTACAATTTATATACAGATGTGGAGAATCGCTTTAAATGATTTCAATGAACTTTACCGAATATTTACACTTATTCACCCGTATCACTGCCTCCTCTCTCTCTCTCTCTCTCTCTCTCTCTCTCTCTCTCTCTCTCTCTCGGTGTGCGTTTTTCTATCTACACCATATATGTTGGATTGGATGTGGGAGAAGAAAGGAAGTCAGAGTCTACAGTTATTGGTCGGAGTGATAAATGGCGATTTTCCCTTTGTAAAATACACAACGCGTGCTCACTCTGATGCCATATAAAAAAACAAATTTTACGATTGATTTTCCACAACAACAACATCAATATCACCAGCAATGACACACACACCATTATTGATTCAACGCATAAAACCTTATGTACAATGTTTTGGAATTTTACGCTTTTTTACGTGCTGCAAATACACACTCTGGGACTTTTGCTTCATATGTTTCACTCAATAATCGTTCAATAACCGACGGTGTGGTACTCATTTATCAAAGACATCCAAGCTTCCACTTCACATTCTGCTCTCCGAACTGAATCGCACGCCATGCACATGAAGAAAGACAACCACACTCTCTGAAAACATGATAAGTAAACCTTAAGATTGAATCGAAACGGTTTGAATCGAAAATGAAAATTTAATCGCCTTTGCAAAATCACACAGAGTTAATTAAGCACGATTTCATCTATGCACCGATTTCATACCGGATTAACTCAAAACAAATCAAATGGAATCGGAAGCACGTAATTTAAACTTGTGGGATTTTCTTTTTATCCTCGATGTGTGTGTATGTGTGTGAATGAGTTGAAGAGGGAGCAAATCTTTAGCATGTTAAATTGGTTTCAGGTTCGGTGCAAAAGTTAGAGCGTAATTACATTTGCTCAATGTTCACTTTCTTTTTTCTCCTCTCTCATTCTTTCACTCTCTCTCTCTCTCTCTCTCTCTCTCTCGCACTCTATCTATCTATCTATCTACATCAATTGCATATCGAGAGACGCAAAAGTGAAATTATCAACCAAATAAGTCACTGGTTATATACCAACCATAACGATAATTCTATTGTCAATTATATTTTCCGATGAATGCTTTGAACTGAAAAGCAACCCAAATCAAATATCTGGGTGTGTGTGTGTGTCAAAAAAAGTGCCATTTTTAGACAGCGAACGAATGGCGAAAACACATAAAGGATATATATGCGTAACAGTGTGTGACATTAAGAGTTAGCACACCAAGAGTCTGTATGTACAAGCGCATTCACAAAAGATGTTCAAAATGTTCAGAACGTCTTTATTTTGTTACATTCGATGTGA